CCTCGAAAAATTTAGCCCAGAGTCTCGGAGAGCATCATGATTAGAAATGATGACAATTTTCCATATATAGAGCGTATAATTGGATTAAAAAGTGCTGGTGTGAGAATATTACAATCTGCATGCTTGAAAAATTTATCGTATTCTCCAGATAGCTTAATACCTGACTATATACCTGTTGAGCATGGAAATTTGAAAGTATGTCCTTACTCGAAATTCCTAGGATTAATTTCTATCCAAGATCTGGCACGCCTCTGATTTTTAACTACGGTTGTAAACTCATAATAGTCTGTACACAGCAAAAAATCATTTTCTTATTTTAAGAAAAAAAAAACTTGTTTTAAGAAAATTTTCTTGAAATAAGAAAATATTTTCTTGGGAGAATAACAAGAAAATTTTCTTAATAAGAAAATTTTCTTAAGAAAATTTTTCTTATTAAGAAAATTTTCTTGAGAAAAAATTCTTAAATTGAGAAAATATTTTCTTATTTTAAGAAAATATTTTCTCAAATCAAGAAATTTTTTTTCTTAATAAGAAAATTTTCTTGTTATTCTCCCAAGAAAAAAATTTTCTTGAAATAAGAAAATTTTCTTAAAATAAGAAAATAATTTCTTATTTTAAGAAAATAATTTCTCAAAACAAGAAATTTTTCTTAAAAAGAATTTTCTCATTAAGAAAATTTTCTTGTTATTCTCCCAAGAAAAAAAATTCTTGAAATAAGAAAATTTTCTTAAAATAAGAAAATAATTTCTCAAAACAAGAAATTTTTCTTAAAATGAATTTTCTTATTAAGAAAATTTTCTTGTTATTCTCCCAAGAAAAAAAATTCTTGAAATAAGAAAATTTTCTTAAAATAAGAAAATAATTTCTTATTTTAAGAAAATAATTTCTCAAATCAAGAAATTTTTCTTAAAAATAATTTTCTTATTAAGAATGTGTTGTTTGTGTGTTTATATGTACAGGTACTCAGGTGAATATTGTTTTTGACGTTACTCTGAGTGTATACTCTGTGTTACTCTGTGTGTGTACTTAGGGGCTTCGGTGGCCAAGTGGTTAGCGCACTTGCCTTTCACCTCTGAGGCTGCAGGTTCGAGTCTCACTAAGTACCTTCTCAGTGCGACTCGAACCCAGTCCCCATGCGAAAAGAGTAAAAGTCAGCACTCTGCCGAAAGCCGTGGGTTTTTCCCGGGTACTCCGGTTTCCTCCCACAGTGAAAGTTGACAGGGTGGGTTAGGTATAAAAGGGCCCACAGTAATTGGCATATGCTGTTGTGGCGACCCTGCCCTAGTTGGCAAAGCTAAAAATAAAAATAATAAATAAATAAAAATAAAAGTATACGCAGTTAGCAGAGCATTGGACTAGTGTCCCAAAGGTTGCGGGTTCGATTCCCACCATGGTCAGGCTAACTTTTTAGCCTGCCGGGTGTGGATATACACTCAGAGTAACATACAAAACATCAAATTATTGTCAATTTATACAAGTTCTTTTTTCAGCTGCACTGTTGCACAACTAGGTGTAGTTCTGATTGCACAGGAATGTGTTGTAGCAAATTTAAGTTCTCCTGAAGACCTGAAGCAGTAATTTTTCAACTTTTTCCACATGACAAGCAATATTATCTGACCAACCGTTTGTTCAAAGTCCATAGATTTCTTTATAATGCACATTAAACACTGTTCCAAACACATCATGCAAATGCCACTGGAGATCCATCATATATA